GAAGCACGAACGCGACTACCCTGACGTGGTCATGGGGTCTCTGCAGGTGTTCTGTCAGGTCACGCAGGATTGTTGCCGCCACAAGACCGCTACAAGAGCCTCCTCTGAAGCCCAGGGTGTAAGCTTCCACAAGGCTTTCGGGTGCAAAAACCCCTGAAAGACAACCCAATGCTGCCAGGCGGCCTCTCGGATTGTGCAGCTGGTCCAGGTCGGAGCCGAAGCCTTTGCCGCCGAAGAAGACCTCGGCCTCGGAGCTGCCTGGACTGAACTTCAGGATCCTTTGGTTTTGCGAGTCAACGATGTAGGCGTCTCCTTTGAAAAAGGCGATGCCTGAGATGTGGCCGGGGGAGGGCTTCGTGGAAGGGCTTCGCGGAGAGGGCCTTGCACTCCAAACGGACGTGGAGGGTTCCCTGAAATGGGGATCGAAGTAATTGGAAGCCCTGTCATTTAGAGAAGCGATGCCTTCTGGGTAGCTCAGAGCTCCGATCTTCCTTTTGTGTCCTGGACGGGGAAAGAAGCGTCGGTTCCCGCCGCTCACAGCGGTGTGGAGGTAGGCTCCCAGGGCAGTTTCATTCTTGCCAGGCTCGGCGGCACGTGCGGGAACGATCAGCTGGACCTGCTTCGGGAAGTGTGGCTCGGTGGAGTGGTAGCCTTTGGCTTGGAAACCGAGGACGTCGTCCAAGGCGGCTGTTGGCGCGTAAAGGTGTGGAGACACGCCCGGCGAGGCCTTCCAGCTTCTGCTTCATCACTGCCCTGCGATGTCGAAAGCTTGTCGTGTCACTCGAGAAGTTCATCCGCAGAGCGGGTGTTGGAACTCCCCCCTCGCTGAGATTCATGCGGACGAGGTCCATGCCCTCGAGCATGCAGGTGGAGGACGTTGCCGGATCGAGGCCATAGGCCAGGAGCTGTGGCCCAGGGCGCCACTTCAATCCGGGAAGGCCGTCAGGCTGCGAGTGAGAAACTGGATCGCTTGGCTTCCACGGTGGCAGGAAGACATGGAGGAGAGCTCGATCGTCTCGCACGACGATTTCCTTCCAACTGGCAATGGCAATCATCAAAGCGGCAATGAAGGAGCAGCACGCCATGTTCAAGGGCTGGATTTGGAATCAAGAAAATGCCTACTTGCTCTCATTGACTCGAGCATGTGCAGCGTGATGCACTCTTGGGTGCAAAACTTCAGAGCTGTCCGCAAGCTCTTGTTGGTATCTGCTGACGCCGACAGTGCTCCTGCCAAGCCCACCCGCCTCGGGCACGCGCCCGACCAGGGACTCCAGACTTCGCCTGCAACCCCATGCCCCATGCTGCCCGTACCCCTGCGACCGTGGGGCGGGCAAGCACCGTGTTGTTTACCGGATACCCACGGACTGCGATGGACCCCTGGGGTAAGCGATAGCAGAGACCATCTCCCTGCCTGCGCTGAGCTCCAAAAGATCGGAGCGCTCCCAGTTCGGCGCTAATGTCACCTCGTGCCTGCACGCACTTCAGAGCAGCATGTGATCTGCATTCTGAGGTCGAATTTCTCGCAAGGACAATGGAGTACTCTAAGCAAGGTTACAGTTCAAGGCTTAGGAACATGGTTGAGGATGTTAGCTTGAGGGTGTAGGCTCCAGCACAACAGCATGTCTGAACAAACATCGGTACACGCAGGTCGCAAGAGACAGGACAATCCTTCCCAGGTCAGGGTTCACATCTAGATTGTGTGTTGTGCTTGCGGTTCTCTGGGTTTGGGGTTTGAGACAGCATTGTTTGAGACGGCTAACGTACTGGTTAGGAGACTCCCTTGAATAGAAGGACGTGCCACATAGAGCCAGCAGAATATGTAATGTAAGGGCCTTAATAATTAGAATAGGGTTTTGGGGCCATATACTAGAATTAAAATAAGGAACCCCCAAAATAATATAGGTAAATATGTAGGCCCCTACATTAATATGTAATTCATAACCGACCGGAATGTGAGGAAACTTTATTTAGGATGGCAGCAAGGAAGCAATGCGCCTGGGAGAACTAGGCGGCAAAGGAAGTGTCAGTAGCTTGAGGGTTTAGGTCTAGGGTTAAGGCTTAGGGTTTAGGGTTTACCGTAAACCCTAAACCCGAGACCCTAAACCCTGAACCCTAAACCTAACCCTTAAACCCAAATACACCCCAATATACCCTCAGTTACAGCATCTCCCAAGACGGCCTGAGATGGCCCGAGAATCCTGCTCCGAGGCCTCGATGGCTCTGAACAGTTGAACATCCCAGGATCTTTGGGCTTTAGGGCCTTCAGGGCTTAGGGCCTTTAGGATTTAGGGCTTAGTGCCTATAGGGTTTAGGGTTTGGGCTTTATGTCTGCTGGGCATGTTGGGGGGTTTTTAGATCCGGTGCTTGGGGGCTTTGGGGTTTGGGCTCCTTTTGGGTTTCGGGCAGCCTTCCGCTCTAGTCCCAACACGCTGCAAGCGCAGAAGCTCTGTGTGGGCGCAAGATGCGGATGCTTGACAAGAGATTTAAGTAGTTATCTGAATTATGGTCCCTTCTTGGGTCCCCAATATAGTACGGCACTCTTATAAAACGACCCTAAATGGGACCCTTATTCAGAGAACTACCCGTATACTCCCGAACATCCTGAAAGCTTCAGCAGTCTACAAACTGGGAGCAGCTAATCACTTTCAGACTGGCTTTGGGGGAGCAGTAATTACTTTGGGTGTTGGGCTGAAGGGTGCTCCTAAGTCTCACGGGCTTTCACTTCGATTTCAGCAGCTTCCTTTCTGCGCTAATTATGACAAGATCTCATCTAGAGCCGGAGCTAAACCAAACGACCGCCACACCCTCTCTGCGAGCTCTGGTTGAAAAGAATCTCTGGCACGCACGATTCAACTTTCTAGGACGGGGAAGGTGGCAAGGCGCGCATTCATTGTATCTCAGTATCCGTTGACCCGGCTACCTATATTGCCCATCCACCTGTCTATCTATCCATCTATCTACCTACCTATCTCTCTACCTACCCATCTATCTATCTACCTACCTATCTCTCTACCTACCCATCTATCTATCTATCTATCTATTCATCTGTCTATGTATCCATCTGCCCATCTATCTATCTATCTATCTATCTATCTATCTACCTATCGGTCTATCTGATTCACAAATGCTCACGTACGTATGCATGCATGGAAGGACTTGGTCGTCTACATGTATTTATAGACATGTACCTCACACTCAGAACAGGTGCCGATGCACATACATGAAAGCCTTCCTCCGTACATGTTTTTATGTACACAGTTTAGTCAGAGCAATTCAAGCTGCTTTCGTCCAAGTCTTGCATGTCTTCCGCTTCTTTTGTCTAAATCATTTCATGTCAAACAACTTCATGTATTCACTTGTCCTCTTCATCCCTGCAGTCTTCGGTCTTCATAAATTCGAACATGGATTCACCCACAGACTAATTACTTCATTCATTCATGCATTCACTCACTCTTTCCGTCCTTCCTTCATTCACTCATCCGTTCCTTTCCTTACCACTCCACTCCGTTCCACTCCGTTCATTCATTCATTCCAGTCCATTCCGTTCCATGCTATTCGGTCATTCATTCATTAATTCATTCATTCATTTGTTCATTTGTTCATTCGTTCATTCGTTCATTCGTTCATTCGATCACTCGATCATTCGTTCAGTCATTCATTCACCATACTTCTTCATGTCCAATGCTATTCAAGTCCTTCAAATTTTCTTCTCGCTTCAGTCGATTTCAGGCAGCTTGCTTCCGTGCCAGCCACTCATAGCTATGCGCATGTATATTTAAAAAATATGTATGTACATGTGTATATATATATATATTATGTATGTATTGAGTAGTATGCAGCTTCATAATACATGTGTAAACGTGTGCACACACATGCGTGTACGGGTATACATGTGCATATACCTCTATGTTCGATGCTCGCACATGTGATACATATTCCTCTTTCTATCTTTCTATGAATCTATCCATCTATCCATCTTTCCATCTAACCATCTAACCATCTAACCATCTATCCACCCATCCATCCATATATCTATACATACATACATACATACATACATACATACATACATACGTACATACACGCATACATACATATGACACGGGATATGTATGTGTGCTCACTTCGCGGAGAAACGATGATGCTACTCATGAACTTTGCGACTCGCTCTGCCACTATGACCTTGATGATCTCCTTGGCTTCATGTTCTGCATTCGTGTTTTTCTCCTTGGTTCTTCTGACTTTTCTGACCACGATCACTTCTCTGCACCACACGGCATGTATGACCATTGTATTTCTGCTCATAATTGCTATCAAGTCCATTAACTGCCTGTGTAGGCTATGACAAACCTGGCCCTCCGAAACCCGCGTACCCTCGACTTGCAGTTTGTGAGCTTCCTCTTGCCCTTCTGGTGTTTCTCTTTCCCTATGTTGATAGTCTTGCTCCCTTCAATGTCAATGGTTCTGTGAAGCATTGTGTTTGGCGCCATTTTTGGAAAGTGTAATATCGTTTTGATTGTGTTGCTCACAATGCTGTGTTGCGATTTCTGTTGTTGCTCTTGGTGTAGCTGTTGATGCTGGGGTTGGACTTGCTATTGCTGTTGCTGCATGTGTGGCTGCGATGCGCGATATGTCTTGAAACATTAGCAAGGCAACCAGTATGTTTGATGTCATTGTTTCCCTTGCTTTACCATAGAAGCCCAATCCTACGCTTGTCATGTGATGTGGAATGATCTTCTCAACAACTTCAACTGCCTCGTCGCGATGAGCTCGGAGCTCCATGCTGACAAGGCTGGTACTGAGAACAGCCATGATCCAGTCTCGGCTGGAAGAATACTTATGTTGCTGCGGCGTCAAACAGGTAATCGACACTGACACTAGCACCAAAAAGGAACGTGCAGCCATTTTGGTTCATTCAATGAGGCCTGCTGCCCAACCGAACTTGGGGTTCTCTTGAGCCCTGGGCTTCGGAGGCGACGACCAAGAGCCTGTTGCGTGATACGTTCCGTCCTTAACGACGCAACAGAACAGGATGCAAGCCCTGGAATCGATGTTTTGCTTGCAGCACATTACAAAGAAGCCCATGCATGAGTGGAGGAGCTTCCGCAATAGGCTTTTAGGCTGTGGCTGCTCAAACAACCGATTTTTGCAAGCAGAATATGTCTTTTTTTAGCATTGCGAACACGTGGTTTCTGCGCAAAAGCTTCCTGCAGGAAATGGCACAGCGGGAGCCACGGAAACTCGCGCAATCTGATGTCTGTCCATACTGCTACCACACTGATTTGCACGGCTGCAGATCAGAACGTCAAAAACAAATTAAATTCCACAACAGATGCATCTGCCTATACAAAAACTACTTCATGGATGGGGATTCGAAAAACAGTATAGTTCAATAGTTATCGTGCGTCTTATTTACCTCCATGTCAGGGACACACTTCCAGAATGCCACCAAAAACCGTCCCAAAAACAACAATAACTAATCATAAAACATGTTCACGAATGCGCTGCTTGACAACTTCCCACTAGCTGGGACCCCATCCGACCAAGACCTTCACGCGCAGCTTGCGAGCGTTCAGTGGCCACAAAATATGCTAGTTGTTGCGCGTCTTTTGGTGCAAGCTCTCTGTGGCAACTTTCCATGTTCAACACGGGCTGAAGCTTGACTTCCTGCCGTGCAGCCCGAGAGGCCGGTTTGTTCTCAACTTGAGAGCGCAATCCGTTCAAGGGCTCATGCCTTCAGACATCATCATCGGCTTACACGACGCAAGCAATATACCTGCAGAAGCTTCTTTCCAAGCTCCTGTCGGCAACCTCTTTATGTAGCTGACTTCTTCTGACCTAGCTGGTAAACCTGCCAGGGCCGCATCCCGGCTTGAAGTGCTCACGTGTGTGATCATCAAGCTGAACCAGGCCCCAGGGAGAAGCACGCGCATACGGGCACTTGGAGTTTGTAAATAAGGTTATAAGTATACTCAGTGGTGTAAAAAATGGTACCCCAAAAAAAAACACGCTCATCTTGTCAGGTACGCCGATTCTTCGCTGCTACGTTTCCAAACTGCAAGCTTCAGGGTCGCGCAGCAACTTC